CCAGCTGACCGTCTGTGGGCAATTTGCCAACCAGCCTATCGATTTTTCACTAATGTTGCTCCAATGCGAAAGTAGTGAAGGACAATTAGAACTCGTAGTCAACCTAGCGAGGGGCGGAGGCCTCCCGTCCCCCACTGTTACTGCCCTTATCGTGCCCTATCCAGACCGTTTTCCGACCTTATTCCTGCACAAGTGGTATCGGAGGGGGCGTCAAATTCAAACCATGTGCAAATCTCCGAAACCATTTGTTCGTGAACTGTGCCTTTAAGGGTCATCCCTGACTCTTCACCCATTTCATACAGAGTTCGATGATCAATTTGAAGACAAACTAAACTTTATTAATGTGTTGTGCAAATAACCGGGTAGTTAACTAATGTAAATCACAGTTTTTAAGGGATAAATTATCACAACATGCCACCAACCCAAAGCTCAATATTCGGCTTGGGAATGTACGAACGACCGTCACATCTGCACAACGATGAAAAACTGCACAACTGTATGAGAGCAGACCGAGAAGTGAGAAATAAGGGAAGACCATTGAGTAAACAAAAACAAAAAATAGCGAATCGATTAAGGGAATAATGCCGCGTCGTAATGACGTCATAATATACAACAAATTTATATACAACAAAAAAAAATGCAAATTCGATCAAACGAAAACAATTTTCACGTACAAGGCAATGATTTCTATTAATAAACATACAATAGCAAAATGCTACCTACTAAATTACTGTAATTTATAAGTAAGTGAATCATAAATGCACACAATAGGTCATAAGGTCCGACGAAGGAGCCTCACAACCTGAGTGTGTGTCCCAAGTGGAAAACGCAAAACAACATTGAGAATCCCAAAAAGTACCCATAGAAGTTTAGAACTGAAAAAGCGAAGGGACATTTGGTAAGGTGGTTGGAGCGCTGCGGTCGGCCAGCCACCTCACCTCACTACTGTGGGATCGTCATCCAAATAGTTTTCTTCTGTTCATGATCAATTAGAGTCACGATCTTAAAATAACAGCATCAGATCATCGTTAGGAGTAGTATACGGTAGCATACTGTAGTATACTGTATGTTTACTTACCTGTTGACATACATGCTTTACAACACCTTTTGCTGGACCTTGTGAAGAGACCATCAAAACCGACGCTGAACAATTCATAGCATCCAGTTCTTTTTCCACTGCTGACGCCTGGAATTGTCTGATTATAACTGGCGATGTGTAATGTTGTGAGTAGGGAGGGCGAAGAGTAGTGCCGAGGGGCGCTGCTGCCATACGGACGGTCTGGGGATCAAACCAAGCAGTGATACCTGTGGAGGTGAACTAGCTGTAATGCCTTTACAGAAAGATTCGTCTGGGGAGATGATTGGAAAGGGATGAGGAATGCTTAGAGGTAGAGGTAGGACTTTTGCGTTGATAAATTCTGTTTTCGGGGTGCGCCCCGCATTATACTTCCATTCGGACGGTTTACATGCCAACAGGACCTGCACAGTGATTTCTGGTGCCCAGCCAATTGGCAAATCAAAGCTTTTTTCTCCCAAATGAGTCTGGTAGTAGTTAAACGATGACGAAGGAGT